TCGGTATATTACATAGCCGTATTATATCTAGGCGGTCGCGGTATAATGCCTGGAGGCTCGCGAATGTCGCGGCATCGCGATGATGTGCGTGAGGGAACGCGTAGTATGGGAGATTTCCGGAGCCCCTGGGGCGGCGGCAGCGAGAGCCCTCGTTGCGAGGCCGAGCGCGCTCGACCCCGCAAAACCGTGCCTTCGGGGTGAGTTCTGAGGGAGTGCGGGAACACCTGAGAGCCCTCAGTCGAGACTCGGAGCACCGGACCTCGTTGGCGTGTTCCCTAGGAGTTGGGACTAGGTTTCTTCTGGGAAGCGGATCTTTCGACGAAGTGTCTGTTTCTTGTCGACACGGCGATTTATATACCCGCCCGGCGCGGCGGGTTTGCTAGGAGCGCCGATCGTCGCGCTGCGGTGGGGCGGCGCGGCGCCGCGCTCGTCCTCGGGGCGGCTCGGCTCCCGTCGTCGCTCGTTGGGAGGCACCGGTGCCGCGCTTGGCCCGCGCACACGGTGCGTTTTGACTTGGTTTAAAAATGTGGGCGCACCGCGCCCTGGTCTTCGCCCGACTGGTCGTCGGTCGGGCGGCATCCGGCGGTCGTTTGCCGGGAACGATGCTTAGTGCACGGGGTGCATCGTTACACCATAAATACATTTTTAATTAACTAAGTTAAGTTAAAAGTTTGGTAATTATTCAGTTTAGGGGCCTCACCTCAAATCTCGATGTAAATATGCTCAATCGACGCGTTTTTGTACGAAACGAAAGAATCTGGCAGAAAAGTGTCGCTTTGCCCCGCGACGCGAGATATTAAACGTTAAAGTTGACAGAAATCAGGTTATGATTCCTGTCATACCGACGACATGTAGCAACACTGAACGTGCCCTGCGGCCACATGCGCATGCTCAGTGGTCGCACGCGCATGTAAAACTGCGCCAATTTTAAATGAATCAATCGTGCAGAATAACCAAGCATCTCGATTCAAGCAGTTAGGTCTCACGCTGGGAGTTTCATTAGTTTAATTATGCGTGGGAAGCACACACACACACACACACACACACGAGGGGTGCGAGGCGGGGGCCTTCGGCCCCCCCTCCCCTGCACCCACCCCGTCGGTAGGCAGCGTGGGCCTCGCTTTACAACATAAAGTACATGCTAAGTTGTAAAACAAAATTATAAAGTACATGCATGGGGGAGGATGCAGGGAAGAAAAGCCTTTCTGTTCACGTGCGCTCACGCATGTAAGCCCCCTTGCACCCCTCCATGCATGTGCTTTATAATTTCGCTTTACAACTTAGCATGTACTTTATGTTGTAAAGCGAGGTCCACGCTGCCTACCGACGGGGTGGGTGCGGGGGAGGGGGGGGGGA